TAAGGGCGTGCTTCGGTGGTTTGGGCACGTTGAGCGAATGAGTGAAGACCGAATGGTGAAGAAAATATATAGCGCGAAAGTTAATATTAAAAGGTGTCGAGGTAGACCGAGACTAACTTTCGAAGACCATGTGAGCAAATTGCTCGAAGAGGGTAGGGTCAAGAGTACTCGGATACCTAGACGTGCATGTATGAAGAAGATAATGAATCTGAAAGAAGCGAAAGAGATATGTAAGGATCGTGACACTTGGCGATCTGTTCTCTCTGGCTACCCCGTCAGGGATTGTGCGTGAAGATAAGTAAGTAAGTAAGTAAGTACAATCTCTGTATGATCTGAGGCGGGGTTCGGGTTCAGTGCATTCGAGTTATCACACTGTTGTATATCAGCTTGTATTGAACCCGTTTTATTGGATGACAAATTAAAACCTTTTTTTATAGGATAGGGTGACAAACGAGCACACAGTCCACCTGATTTAAGTGGTTGATGTGACTCACAGACGTCTACATTTATCCTCAATAAAGAATCAAAATGCAGATTCGTTTTCACCCTTGAGGACTAAAAAGGAATGCCCACTTTTCCAGTTAAAAGGATCTCCAGTATTCTGTGGTGGTATTCTTTCCACGATATCTATGCATTCGTATAAAATCTCTACATCATAATTTACTAAAAGACATCATGTAATAATTATACTATAATACTAGCGCCATCTATCGATAAACGCGCGAACAATTTCAATGCCGTCTGAATAGTTAGGTTACATTTGAAAAGTTCATTCCCTTATTTTTCTATCCTGGGTGTTTGAATTGTTTTTCTTTTATAATATGGACTACTAATTATAAAGGACTCCCTTGAAATATAACCTAATTAATAAAAAAAATAATCATCAAAATCGAACTGTTGGTTTATACCATGAAGCTAATACAAAGGGGAGACGGCATAAGCAACTGTGCACTGTGATTCTAAGTAGGTCCTGACGTCATCATAGTGGGCGTGGCTTTAGTTAGTATACTGTCAGCATTCATCCTGTGCGCTTATGTGTTGAAAAAATCACAAATCGGTGTATTTTCGTAGTATTAAGAAGAAAAGGATGAAGTGTTGTGTTTTATTGTGTAAAAACTACTCAGATAGACGCTCTGATGCTATGGATGGCATCACATTTCATTTGTAAGTAATTTTACACCTGATTTATTAAAATAGTTCTAGAAAAATCTCTTTGCGTCGGCTTTCAAATATAATTAAATATATTCCACACTAGATGGCGACACTTTGTGTCCTGTGAACTAAAAATATAAAGGTACGTAGAGCTCAGTAATGATAAAATAATCATACGAAGGTGCTGAAATTTCTTTGCATTCAGACATAAAGATATTTAATCGCCAAAGTGTTATTTTTAAAGTTTATAACATTTTGTGGATATGCCGCCATCTACCGTCAAGGTAGCTAAGCTACATTGCAACATCGATATGGAAAAATTCGAGTAGATTTTTAACGGTGGTAGAGCCTTGCAGCAGCTTTTGCTGTTGCACGTATGGGCCGGCTCGAGCCGGGTTAGTACCACGACCTCACAGAATACCGGCGTGAAGTGGAAGCTCTGCTTCCGCGTTTCGTCTGATGAGTGCAGGTGACCGGATGCCCAAGTCCCCCCCCCCCATCAACATGGTAGCGGAATTACGTCATAAACTACCCCAGGAGGGTACCAGTACCCCTGGAGAATCCCTCGCTGAGCATCCACGACCATGCTATTCCACTCCTGAGCGTGGGTGCTCAGGCTGCCCCGCGTATTCTGGGGGGGGCAAAATTCCGCTCAACACAATAACTGCTCGGGGCAAACTGAGCAACAAGACCAAGGCGACCCCTGCCACGCTATCCGTGAATTTCTGCAACATCAGGGGACTTCACTCGAACCTAAACGCCGTCCACTACCATCTTGAGACGGCGAAGCCGGCCTTGCTCTTTCTGACCGAGACGCAGGTGTCCTCTCCGGCTGATACTTCGTATCTCTCATGCCCGGGGTACAAATTGGAGCACTCCTTTGTGCCTCGGGCTGGGGTTTGCGTGTATGTCAGAGAGGACATCTGTTCTCGACGCCTCGGCAGTCTTGAAGGTTCGGACCTGTCCATCCTTTGGCTACGCGTAGACAGCGACGACCATCCGCGCGTCTACGTGTGCCTCTATAGGTCCCATAGCGGTAATGCCGAAACAGACCGACTCATCGACCACGTCCAAATGGCTACAGATTCCTTGCTACAACAGGTCCCATCCGCAGAGATCGTGATCCTTGGCGATTTTAACGCCCACCACGCCGAATGGCTCGGTTCACGTTTAACCGATCATGCGGGGAGATCTGTTTATGACTTTGCCTTGGCATATGGTCTGACACAACTGGTTACATCGCCTACGCGGATTCCAGATGTTGAGGATCATACACCTTCCCTGTTGGACCTTCTGCTGACCTCTCATCCGGACGGATATCAGGTTTCCGTCGATGCCCCTCTTGGCTCTTCGGACCATTGTCTGATCCGGAGTGTGGTGGCACTCACGCTCCCCTCGCGGTTGCGTTCTGCAGGTTGCCGCCGTGTTTGGCATTACAGGTCGGCGGATTGGGACGGAATGCGGTCTTTCTTTGCTTCCTTCCCATGGGGGCGGGTTTGCTTCTCGCCGGATGATCCCAGCGCTGTTGCTGACTCTGTCACTGATGTAGTGCTACAGGGAATGGAACTATTTATTCCATCATCTGTGGTACCCATCGGAGGCAGATCTCAGCCTTGGTTTGGTCGCTCCTGTAAGACTGCATTACGCAGTAAGCAGGAGTGTTATCAAGCCTAGGCTGCGGCTTCGGTGACTCGGAATGTAAACACCAGCACACTCAAAAAGAAGTATAACTTCGCCTCCAGGTCCTTCAAAAGAGTTATTGCCAGGGCAAAGTCAGAGCACATAGGCAGAATTGGCGAGAAACTAGTTCGCCTTACTTCGGGAACCCGTGCATTCTGGTCTCTCGCCAAGGCTGTCCAAGGGAATTTCTGTAAGCCATCACTACCATCTCTGCACAGGGAGGATGACTCACTGGCCCACGACGCAAAAGAGAAGGCCGACCTTTTAGGCTCCCTTTTTGCGTCCAACTCGACTGTTGATGACGGGGGGAACACACCGCCGACCATCCCGCGGTGTGAGTGCTCCATGCCGGATGTGCGATTCTCACAGCGCTCGGTTCGCAGAGCACTCCTCTCCCTTGACATCCACAAGTCGAGTGGGCCTGACGGAATCCCCCCAATTGTGCTGAGGACGTGTGCTCCGGAGTTTGCACCGGTTCTAACGCGTCTTTTCCGGTACTCCTACTCCCTAGGCGTAGTCCCGAAATCATGGAAGACAGCTTTTGTCCACCCGATCCCTAAAAAAGGCGACCGCTCAGATCCGTCCAACTACAGGCCTATCGCCATCACCCCCTTGTTCTCCTAAATAATGGAATCCGTTGTAAACTGCCAGCTCATGCGGTACCTTGAGGATCACCAGCTGATTAGTGACCGCCAGTACGGTTTTCGTCGGGGTCGATCAGCTGGTGATCTTCTGGTCTACTTAACTCATAGATGGGCGTTGGCAGTAGAGTCCAAGGGGGAGGCATTGGCCGTTAGTTTGGACATTGCGAAGGCCTTCGATCGGGTTTGGCACAAAGCGCTTCTTTCGAAGCTCCCTTCCTATGGGCTTCCCGAGAAATTATGCAATTGGATCACCAGCTGTCTTGCAGATCGGAGCATCAAGGTCGTTGTAGACGGTGCATGCTCCGACTACAAGCCTATTAACGCTGGTGTTCCACAAGGCTGCGTGCTATCACCAACGCTGTTTCTTCTGCATATCAACGATATGTTGCAAGCTGGTAGCATTCATTGCTATGCGGATGACAGCACTGGTGATACTCTATACACCGGCCGTGCCAATTTTTCTCGGGAAAACGTCACCGGAACAAACTTGTGTCTGAAGTAGAGTCTTTGCTGGACAAAGTCTCGAATTGGGGGCGACTAAATCTAGTCCAGTTTAATCCTCAGAAGACACAAGTTTGCGCGTTTACCGCTAAAAAGAACCCCTTTGTCGTATCTCCTCAGTTTCAAGGTACTCCCCTTGTTGCCTCAGCCAGTATCGGAATCCTCGGCGTCGACATATCGAGTAGCGTGCAGTTTCGTGGTCACTTGGAAGAGAAGGCCAAATTGGCCTCTAAAAAGCTTGGCGTGCTCAGCAGAGCGGGACAGTATTTCATGCCGGCTCAACGCCTGCAACTTTACAAGGCGCAGGTTCGGCCTCACATGGAATACTGTTCCCATCTCTGGGCTGGGGCTCCCCAGTGCCAGCTTCTTCCACTTGACCGCATCCAGCGCAGAGCGGCTCGAATCGTCGACGACCGAGTCCTTTCCGATCGGCTCGACTCATTGGCACTGCGAAGAGATGTTGCATCTCTTAGCATTTTCTTTCGCATTTACCATGGGGAGTGCTCTGAGGAATTGTTCGGATTAATCCCAGCCGCCAAATTTCACGAACGCACATCGCGGTAGAACTCCCGATACCATCCACACCATCTGGATGATTGGCGGTCCACCACTGTGCGATTTAGAAGATGTTTTCTTCCTCGCACAACTTCCTTGTGGAATAGTTTACCACCAGCGATTTTTCCGGACCGATACGACTTAGGGACCTTCAAGAAAAGAGCCTACTCCTTTTTAAAAGGCCGGCAACGCATCTGCAATTCCCCTGGTGTTGCGGTTGTTCATGGGCGGCGGTAGTCACTTACCATCAGGTGAGCCGCATGCTCGTTTGCCCCCTCTCCTATAAAAAAAAAAGTTTTACTATTTATCGGTAGATGTAGATAGTGTAGTGGGCGGGGCTTTGCAATCCCCTCACCCCGCAAATTGTCACGCGTTGTTACATAGTTAAATTTAATTACAACGTCTCCTCTTTGTATTTGCTTCATGGTTTATACCAAACTACTAACAATACCTTATTTGCACCTTTACCTTTTCGAGCACCGCCTTCTCTTTTTCCTTGTCCTTGAGTAGCTGCTTAAGGCGATCGAGTTCCTTCATGGCGAGGCGCACCTTGCTGTTGTCTGCGTCCAGCAGGGACTTAAGCGCCCACACTTGCACGCGAAGCCGCTCAGAGCTGCTCACCTGGGGAAAAAAACTACCCCTGTAATGGTGTCAATGATTACTAGTTGATGTCGAGCATAAATATTTCGATCGTGGAAGAGCCACGCTTTCATAGAATACTAGCGAAAAATAGCTCAATGCTCTGTGATTGTAGATCAGTTATAGCGGGTGTAGATATGTTTAATATAACAATAAAGATGGCTAGGTACTAACTACCCTGTGCTTGAGATCCCATCTATGCATATAAATAAAATTGAAGAGTCTGTAATACTATAATAACTGGCTTCAATTTCTATTCACCAGATGTCGCTAGTTGACACTAATGCATGCCTCAGTTTTATTTATTAAATTACCTTTTTTGTTACTCAATGTCATTTAATTGAGAAGTTTATTTTAAAGAAAAGTTTATCATTTTCTAGAGTATTATATTAATACACAAAACAATTCCTCAGAGGTTTGCTCTTAAATTTCTTGCACATTTTTAACTTTTTTTAAAAATTTCTACTTTTATAAATATCTGTGGCTTGGTTTATTTTTATTTTTAATCTAATTAATATAAAATATAGATAATAACACAGAATAATACAGAATAATAATACAGAAATAAACATTAACCTTTACCTTTTCTGAACTAAGTAACTTCCCCGCTATGAAATCTGTCAAATATTATACCTCACTTTTAAGTGGCGCCGTCCTGGTGGCAGAAAAGTCTTGGATACCATTATTAACCTCAGGGGGTTTTGGTCTTTAATCTTAAGAGTGGCACACGCTGAACAGATTGTAATGAAACTGCATGTGAACAGATAGAGATCAATGCCAAGAGTGATCTCGGTTATATTTTATCAGAAAAACTTGGGAGATTTAAAAAAAAGTAATTGTATTGATTATTTTAAATCTAAATAATACCATTTATAAATCCAACCCAGGTGAACCCAGAGTGGTTCTCTAGCTATTGAATATTTTTTAAAGAACTCTCCACGAGAATAGTTTTTACATAGTTTCATGCGCCTTAACTAATTTTAACCGACTTCAAAAAAGGAGGAGGTACTCAATTCGACTCTGTCTTTTTATGCGTGTGCTATACCTCAGATCCTTTATAGGCGAATCGATTTTGATAATTCTTTTTTTATTTAAAATCAAGTGCTGCTCATGTGGTCCCATATAAATTTGATCAAAATCAGACCAGTAGTGTTTGAGTTATACTTAATAATGCGTATTTAATTGACTTCGACTGCATTCATGATGTTCTCATTATATTTATATTGATGTCGGTTGTAAAATATTTTTAATTTTACCACTTGTCGAAACACTTTTTCTCTGTTGCTTACAGCAGTGAAGACATGCATCAGTCATGCAAGTATTTGGTAGTATTATCTTTATTTTGATGCTACTTTGTCTTCGTAAGTAATTGACCCCACCAGTCAAAAATCAAAATAAAGTCTCCCGAACAAAATCCTCTCGGTTCTACTCAATCGCTTCACTTTGATAAGCAATGGGTTCATTTTAAACAAAAACAAAATCAACCCATAATATTTGTGAAGTCGAATGTGACCTAGGGTATCATCTCTGCGATGTACTTGCGATGTACGGCTCCGTGGCGCAGTGGCTTAGCAATGAGTTGTTGCGCTGGGGGTCGCGGGTACGAATCCCGCACGGAACAAGTATTTGTATGGCCTACAAATAATTGTTCCGGGTCTGGATGTTTGTCCTTGTGCAATTTGTGTTTGTAAACTGCCTCCGCGATACAGGAGACAATCCTAGTGTGGGGGTAACGTTATTTTTTTTTTAATTAAAGATTTAAAAAGATTTAAAGATTTTATAACCGTCATCCATCCATCTATCCATCTATTAGAGCACATAAAAATCCACTGCTGAACATAGATCTATCCCATAGATAGACTCAGGTTTTGCCATAATTGTCCCGCTTCGCAGGTGTGTTGGCAACTACATTTTTTTTTATTTTAAGTCGTTATTAGGAAGACGCTGCTGCCAATCTCCCGATTTGTTTCCCTCTGTCGCCTTTTACGACACCCACAGGATGACACGGTACATAAACATTATATAACATTAATAAAATATATAATAACATTGTATACACATATAGTATGGTTCTGCCACAGAAAACTATGCAAACGAATGCAGTACAGTTGTCAGGTGATTCCCGATACCCACACGCAATCATCTATAAAAAGTTGTGTACACCCCTCTCGAGGTCTACGAACCCTCAAGGCCAAACCTCCCCTACAATACTACCCCGTTATTATGTATCAGCTAAAAGTGCCTGTAAAATTATTTTCTTTACGAGCACTTACATAAATTATAAAATAGATTAGATCCGCCTTTTCTTTTGTAGAATATGTGTGGCGAACGAGGTCACAGTCTATTTGATAGTAAGTGGATGCTGTGGCCCATAGATAGACAGCTACATCTATCCTCGATTATGAATTAAAACGCAGATGTACTGTTACTCCTGAGGACTAGGATAAAATAAATAAATAAAATAAAAGACCGGCGATGCATCTGAAATTCCCCTGGCGTTGAAGTTGTTCATGGACAGCGGTAGTCACTTACGATCAGGTGAGCCGCATGCTCGTTTGCCCCTCTCATATAAAAAAATGCCTTGTTTCCAGTAATTAGGATTTTTGGTTTCTCTCACTCACCATATTACATATTAGGTATTCTGTGAGAACGTATTCCTTTCCCGGTCGAGCCAACCAATAAGAGCTGCAAAAATAGCCCTTTTTACTGGAAATGAGGCATTCCATCTTAGTCCTCACGGATGACAACGCATCTACATTTTGATTTGTAACAGAGGATAGATGTAGATGTCTATGGGCCGCAGCAACCACTTACCATCAGGTGGACTGTGTGCTCGTTTGTCACCCTAATTCTATTAAAAAAAAATAGCATCACATTGATTGCTAATTCGATGGTTGGTGTATACAGCTACAAATTTCATCAATACGTCTAAAGTGAGAGATTTTTTTTTAATATTTTTCTCCCCATTTCAGCTGATTAGGTTAATAAAAACATTATATTCGAGTCCAAGTCTAAGCGAGGTAAGCGCTCGGTTAAAATTTTAAAGTAAACAAACAATCAGAGTTCGATCTCTACCACGTCACGATCAAGTGCTCGGCGGTGAAGGCAAAGCATTGTGAAGAACAGGCGTGACCGGCCACATAATGTGGTAAAAATAATCATAAACTAACGAAAGCTTCTAAATTAATTTAAAACCTATATTATACAAAACCTCTTGAAACTTATTTTTATCGACGTAGAGACAACATTTAGGACGGAATTTAGAAAAAACATCAACATTTTCTTGTAACTTTTCACATAATTTAAAATTAAAAATTTTGTACAACCGATTTCAATATAAATTATTAAGAATATCTCAAAAACTATTGGTCAGACCTTGATCAAATTTATATGGGACCACATGTGAGCACCAGCTTTCAAATAAAAAAAGACTCATCGAAATCGGTCATACATAAAAAAGAAAAAAAAACATACAGTCTAATAGAGAAACGTCTCCTTTTTGAAGTCGGTAGAAAATGGAAGAATGATATGTCGTAAAGAAGTTTCACTTAGTACGTGCGTACACAAATACACGTACAATTATTTCTCCCATCAAAAGTCCACTGCTGAACATAGACTATCGCCCCCATAGATCACCTCATAGGAGAGAGATATTTGCCGTAGTTGCCACGGTTGGCCACGCGCAGGCGAGGTGGCAACTGTTGTTAATTATATTATTATATGAGTTTTTCTCAGATTTTTCTTTTTTCATCAGGAAGAAGTCTTCCCATGTACTATTTTAGTTTCCCTCTGTCGCCTCTATCGACATCCACGGGATAATAAGAGCCGCCGTTATTTCACAGCGGCAGTTCAATTGATTCGAGGAATAGACCGCCAGTGCAAAGTGAAATATAATAATGCAAAATCGATTTTAATGCGTCCCAGTGCGTGTATTCCAGGCCTCCCCGATAAGTGAACAAGTTGCCAACAACTATAAAAAAAATTGTAACCCTTCAAAAATGAAATAACATTATAAATGCTAATTTCAACCCAGCCTAAGCCGTCACGTAACAGTTCGTGTGGGCAAAGTGTTTTTTAAGGTACAGGGTTTATGAACGCTAGGGGATAGCGCCCCTAAGTGACCTTCAGACATGATAGGTATTAAGATAGAACTTGAATTATGAAATAAATTACCTTTATGAGTACGACGTAATTTCATTATTATCAACTATAGTGTTATTTAACGTTGCGATATTAAGAAAGCTATGTTTGAATATCCAAGTTTAAAATTTTCTTAGATTGTATAGAATAATTGCAAAGAAATCAGTGTAGCGCGGAAGCACTCAATAGTAAACTCATTCTTTGCCCCATGGAACATATTTTAATCATCATCATTACAGCCGTTTACAAATCTAATGCTGAACTTGGGGCTCCCCCGATGAATGCCACAAAACACGATCTCAAGCTACCTACATCTCGCCATCTTCTTCTTGCTGAGCTACCATCTTCAGGCAAGTTTATGAGTTTCAAAATAAATGTCTTACTATTACGTCTATAAATCGACCATACATCTCGAGTGACTGTCTCGAATCGGATAACACAGTGTAGAGTGACTCTACATTCGGTGAAGTGACGACATTGAAAAACAAATGGAAAATTGATAGATTTAGTTGCATCAGGACCTAAATTTTATGAGGGAGATCTATCTACAATTATGAAAATGTAGTAATACAAGACTGTAATGATTATGCTGATAGTAAACAAACACAATCTGCTTATATTGAAGGCGATCTTTGTGTAAGTAGCATAAGGAACGCATCACAAGAAACGCCCCATTAATAAAAAACAAACCTAATACTACAAAGACTTGACAAATAATCGCGGTAGCTCAGGGGCTGAGCGCTCGCTGTAAATTTCACAGTACACGAGCAAACCGGGTTCTATTCCCGCCGACACCAATGAAATTGTTAATTGCAATTTTAAGTGCTGATTTACCACGTGCTTAGCGGTGAAGAAAAACATCTTGTTGTCTTAGAAATTTAAAAAAATATATATTTAAAGCAGAGCATAATAAACGACTAAAATCATTGCGCATGTTATATGGTATTCGAAAGATAACAGAGTAATCTTATTTTTTATAGAAACACACAGTTCAGCTGATGGTAAATGGATGCTTTGACCCATACCTACACCTATCCTCGATTAACAATAAACTGTAGATGCATTGTTACCCCTAAGGACGAGGATAAAAGGTCTCATTGCCAGTTAAAAAGGTCTCCGGTTCTCTACACTCACTATACGAAACACAGCAGCATTAAGGTGTTGTTTTGCGCTGGGTATTCAATGACAGTTTTTTTTTATAGGCTAAGGTGACAAACGAGCACACGGTCCACCTGATGGTAAGTGGTTGCTGTGACCTATAGACATCTACATTTATCCTCAACAAAGAACCAAAATGCAGATGCGTCGGCACCCGTGAGAACTAACATGGAATGCCTCTTTTCCAGTAAAATGGGTCTCATACTCACCATACGAAACACAGTAGTGTCAAGCTGCCATTTTACGCTGGTATTCTGTGAGAACGTAGTCCTTCCCCGATCGAGCCAACTTATTCGTGCTACAACTATACTAGTAATGTAGCTGCAGCATGGCTCTACCACGTATAAAAGTGCGGTCCTTCCCTGTTCAAGACCTATCTACTCGTGCTACAACCACAATATCTCGTGCCACAGTAGCTCGTGGCGCTACGTAAAACTCGCAAATTTTTTCGTAGCGTTAACGTTGCGGAGCATCTTCTGCGATCTTTAATCTTTTTTTTTTTATAGGATAAGGGTGATAAACGAGCACACAGTCCACCTGATGGTAAGTGGTTGCTGCGGCCCATAGACATCTACATCTATCCTCTATTACAAATCAAAATGTAGATGCGTTGTCACCCGTGAGGACTAAGATGGAATGCCTCATTTCCAGTAAAAAGGGCCTCCGGCCACCTGCACTTACCAAGCGAAACGCAGAGGTAAACTTCTACTTCACGCTGGTTTTCTGTGAGGTCGTGGTACCACCCCGGTTCGAACCGGCCCATCCGTGTGACAGCAAAAGCTGCCGCGTGGCTCTACCTTTTTTTATAATATCGAAATGGCAAAGAAACTTACAATGTACCTGATGATGAGTGGCTACTGCAGCCACCTGTAATCACCTTTAAGCAAAGGAGACTAAAGATGCGTGTAACCTCCAATGATTAAGATGAATTGCCTGGCAATTTGTAATTATACTGTGGACTCTCTGCACCCTTCAAACCAGATCACAACAGTGCACGCACTTAGTGATGGGTCAACTCGAGTTGCTAACTTGAGATAACTCGAGTTGCGCTTAACTCCAGTTAACTCGAGTTGAATCTTCGTAACTGGAGTTAGGGCTGCTGTACATGAACGGATCAAGTGAGCGTGAGCGTGCAAAAGCAAAAGCGAAAGACCTCGATTCGTCCGTTGTGTGCGCGCTTGGTTTCACAATGTATTTAGCTATAAACAAAACAATTTATTATTTCGAATTATATAATAGCTAAGTTATGTAAATTAATTTATTTTATCATTTTGATTAAATATGATCAATATCTCAGAATCGCTGGAGGACCTAAGCACTATGCTCAATGACCTCAATAGACGTAGTTTTTCCGAGTTGGCACATCTATACTCGCACTGCTTTTTGGCGGTGATAATAGGTAAGAGGATCTTACCCAGATGGACACCTATTCAGAAAAAGAAAAACTATTGTGGCCGTAAAGGAAAAGGGGAGATCTCCCGCCGGGCAAGGTGTTCAGCCCGGGAAGCGCCTGACGCTTCGAGTGGAGTTCGGAGCTATTCTATATACATATACCGCTTTCACTTCGGAACTTTGATAGCGCGATTTAGACTTCGATGTATTTTCGTTTGTCTCGCGACGACAGCGCCGCCACACTGTCACCCGGTGTGACCATATAAGGTGTGGTGATTACAGCCAGAAACTTCTATGTATACTGCTAGATGGGCTCTGCGTTCCTAATACATTACGCACTAAGTTACAGTGAATTCTCCGTAACTGCTTTAGTCGACTGCGAGCGGACGAGAAGACTATCTTGTGTTATAAACCGAACGTTGTTTTCGACAATCTAACACTGAGTTTGCTTAATGTGACTACGAAAACGCTGTCATTATTTACTTGCGCACTTTGTTAGCGTGATTTAAAGTTTATTTCAGCTTCGCACAGGTGATTTCTATATCTCGGCAACAGCGCCACCTACCGGGGCCAACTGTGAATCTATACCATCCAGAGACCCACACAAATAATTCCATCAAAATCGTTCGAGCCGCTTTCGCGTTTTAGCGAGACAAACCAATAATTAATTAGTTTTTATTTTCACGGTTGTCAATTACGTTTGCAAGAAAATATCAAAATTTTCCTATGGAAATCGGATTATTTGTCGGTACTTTTCAACTTTGTATCTGGTAAGCCAGCACTCACCTGCAGCTCGAGCGTGGTGCGCAGGCAGTGCAGGTCGCGGCGGCGGCGGCGCCAGGCGGCCAGCAGCATGAACCTGCCCACCCTCTCCGCAGCACGCTGCTCTGCAGCGCTGTGAAGTCCTGGGGACCTCACCGCTGACAGCGCTCCGTCCTTCCTTATCGACCCGTAAAATTACACCACTCAATATAGGCCTCAACCATAGGCAGAGTTCGCCTTAATCGCCATAGCCAACGACTGTCTTAGCGATCTATTTGTATATAAGTACTTTTCGAAATGGACTGGTAACATAGAATGGATCGCGATAAAATTCGTTAAATTAATAGTAATTTATATAATACTAGCTGATACGCGCGACTTCGTCCGCGTTGCTTACAAACATCACTGAAAACGTAGAGCTTATTAAAATAGTTTTTGGAACGAAGTTCCTTATCGGACGGTACGGGTTTGGCGGATGGGAGCTAGGCGACAAAAAGTGTACTGGGCCGTTTTGTATATATTTGGCGTTTGCGGCCAACACTCGCCGAGGAGCCGTATAGTGTCGGTTTTCCGTGCACAAATCTAATGGCTCCAGTACACGTTGGCCGAGCGCGCTCGCTGAGTGCGTTCGGCCAATGTGTACTGGGCCGTTTTGTGTGTATTTGGCGTTTGCGGCCAACACTCGCCCACAAACAAGCCATATAGTGTCGGTTTTCCGTGCACAAATCAAAGAAATTTGGCGCAAGCCGCAAACAGCGATCACACGTTGGCCGAGTGTTCAGTTCATAGTTACGCGTCGAAGTAGACTGTAGTGTCGGCTTAATAAAATTGTTTCAACATGGCGACATGGACTAATGAGGAAATATTTATTTATTTATTTAACAGTTTATTTACACACATAATTCGATAGGAAAATGGTAAAAACATAATTATGTACAAAGGCACTGCCTATCCCATGATGAAATTTCTTCCAGCAGGCCTATTGAAGGATAGTTGAAGGAAATAGAGGTAGTCAAAGTGTGCACTTACATAAATATACATATACAATACAAATATATACATATACATCACGGAATATAAAAAACAAGTTTGTTTTTTATATTCCGTGATATACATACACACACACACAAACACACACACACACACACACACACACATATATATATATATATATATAAATATTATATATTATGAAATAATATAATATAATTCAATATAATATATTTTTAATGTTACTTATATGCATACTAACACATTACGATTTAATAATTATGAAGTGAAATATTGATGCATTGTTCATTGATTGATTCTCACAATGAATCAGTTATATGGAACCCCAAACATGAGCAACATAAAAATAAAACCAGAGTAAGTAACTTGACTAACTGCATTAAATAATACATGTTTAGTTGCGATTTCAGAGTACCTAACTAATGATAAATATTATTATAAATTGTCTCTGCGTTTATGTTGCTCAGGGATAATGTAGCTTAGGGGCTTCTTTTAGGCTTTTATTTTGAAAAAACCCCAGCGTAGCGGGCACGGGTCAGCTAGTAGATCCTATAAGGGTTTCTTTTCAAATTTTGAGGTCGCAACCCTAAAAAGGACAAACTTGGATTATTGTTGTAAGTATATGTAGTTTCTTTTTCGTTCACTCTGAGGAGAGTGGAAATATAAGTATATTACAGCGGCCGCGATCACCCTAACGTCCATCATCATCTAGCTACCAACGCTGAATGAAACACGCCAACGTGTGAACGGCACCACGAAAATCTGCCGAGCGCGCTCGGCCAACGTGTACTGGAGCCATAAGATTTTTTCGTCACTACCCCTTGTGTCATAATGTAGACGGCCTTGCCGGCGAACAAGGAAAAGAGATGGAATAAAATCTATCTTCCTCGCACTTTTTTTATCTTGCCATGAAAGAAATATTATTTTATTTCAAATGACGCTTCATTTTAATAGACGCCAGTAATTCACTTATTTGTAATTGTAATCAATAATATAATACCAACGTTTATCAATAATAATATACTACGCAAGGAACTTCGTTCCAACCGAGTGTTCCACGACACTCACGGATTTTGTTTCTTAAAACTTTAATAACTTTATATTAAATGAAGATGTTACCAATCCGCCTAGCAACTACGTTCAGCTGAACTTTTGATAGGCTATGATCTTGATGATCTCGTTTATACCACACGCAAAATACCAAGACCTGCAATGGATAGCAGCGTCAAAGTTGGGAGACGAAAATCTACTTTTTTAATCGAATAAAGGTGACAAACGAGCACACAGTCCGCTGGTAAGTGGATGCTCTAACCCACAGACATCTACATCTACGAATATCTACGAGTTTATCGAAGTAAAGAATCAAAGTGCAGATTCGTTGTCACCCATGAAGACTAAGATGGAATGCTTCGTTTCCTCTAAACTCACCACACGAAACACAAGCCTCAAACTGCTATTTTACGCTGGTATTCTGTGAGAGTGTGGTCCTTTTCCGGTTGCAACATGGTATAGCTATGCTGGCTTTACGAACTGTAGCATTTCATTTAATTATTTCTTATATTACGTGAATGCTACAAATGGAATCAAATACAATTTATTGCGTTTAATTTTAACTTTTTAATTCCCGATAAGGCACCCATTGTCACGGAGGGGGTGGGGGCTTAGATCTTTGACGTCCCTATGTCATAGTTAGCCCGGCTACCTTCATCCTTCGAATATTGTTATATTTCGAAACGTCGGGAATTAAAAAGTTAAAATTAAACGCGATAAAATCCATAAAATTAATTTCATTCAGTGGCTATTATTTAAGATCTTCAGTTATCCTACCTGCCCTTTAAAACCCTCTTGGTGGGTGTCAAGTCCTCCATAGAAGCGGCTTTGTGTGTAACCCTCGTGGGCTGCAGCGGACCTCGGCTCCGGTACTCCTCCAAGCAGCTCTTAATGCGCTCAAGGTTGGAACTGGGTGCATGGGTTCGCGCCGTAAATTTATTGACAGGGACGGAGTACAGCTGTTTCTTCGGGTGAGCTGGTTGTACGCGCCTATGTCGAAAAAGGAAAAGAAAATAATGCATTACAATAATAATTCAACAAAGTACTGACATTTGTGTGGTAGACGTTTATAAACTTTGTTTTTTGCCGACTGCTCCAAAGGAGATCATTGACTTCCTAGCAATGCCATGGTTTCTCCCATAGTAAACCGGTTTTACCCATTGAAGTGACATCATTAATTATAAACACTTAATAGAACCACCAGATGTTAAGCATTGTGACATCTGGAATAGTCACATAGTGTAATTGGGGGATTTATGACGGGAAATACCTACAATTTAAGAATGTAAAAAAATTACTAATTTTTAACATGTAAATAAAACGTCAGTAAAACAATAGTAGCCTAATGGCAGGGTGCGAAACGGGAACTCAAAAAAAAAAAGATCATGGGTTCGAATCCGCCATTCGACTACTGTCGTGAACCACTTCTAACAAACATTTTAGGCTTACCAGGAGTGGTTAAAGGGAATGTTAGTGATGTTTAATAGCATTGCTTGTTTTTTTTTCTTAAGTGAAAAATTAAATGCCGTAGTGACTCAGGGACTAAGCGCTCGCTGTAAATTTCACAGTACACAAACAACCCGGATTCGATCCCATTCGGCACCAATGATATTCTTGATCGCAATTTTAAATGCCGATTCACCACGAGTTCGGTCGTGAAATTAAAAAAAAATCGTGATGAAACCTGCATGTATGTAGAATTAAATATTATTTCGAACATGTGAAGTTCGCCAACACGCACTGAAGCAACGCATCACCCTCTTCAGAAATAAGGGACCTATGCCCCGCAGCGGAAAATATATAGGCTGTGAATTTAGAAAGAAAGAAACACACTATTTTGCATAAACTATTAACTTTTTTTATAGAATATAGGTGACAAACGGGCACACAGTGCACCTGACATTAAGTGGATGCTGTGTCCCATAGACATCTACATTTAACCTCGATTAAGTATCAAAATGTAGACGCATCGTCACCCTGACAACTTAGATGCAATGCGTCGTTTCCAATAAAAAGTGTCTCCGGTCCTTTACACTCACCATACCAAACACAACAGCATTAAACTGGTATTCTGTGAGAGCTTGGTCCTATACCGGTCGAGGCGACCCATTCGTGCTACAACCATAATAAAACTGCAGCCTGGCTCTACCTCGTATGAAACACACACACACACACACACACACACACACACACACACACACACACACACACACACACACACACACGACAATAAACTAATTTATAACAATAATAAGCCAAAAAAGGTCATCACGCAGCACGAGTTGTGGCGAAACCACTCCGATGATTTTCAATAATGACCAAAATAAACCTTGTAGAGTACAACTCCGAGAGTAAATAAGGTAGTGGCATTTTAATTAAGAAAGAAAAGAAATCAAGAATTCTTTAATCGGAGCTGTGTCCACCGAACCAGAAATACGTCGCCGTCAGGCATGTTCATACCATGAAATATTAGATAATACTTTAAAATTAAAAAATTTGTACAGCCGACTTCAATGTAAGTTATTAAGAATAACTCAAAAACTATGGGTCTGACCTTGATCAAATTTATATGGGACCACACGAGAACTATCAGCTTTCATATAAAAAAATAATCATCGAAATCGGTTCACCCAGTACAAAGTTACGAGGTAACACACATAAAAAAAAACAAAAAATACAGTCGAATTGAGTACTGTCTCCTTCTTGGAAGTCGGCAGATAAAAGTAAATTTAATGTTTTACTATTTATTAATTTACTTTTCTTTTTAACATTAACATATGTTCTTAAAGTTCCTTGGTATATAGTGGCAGCCATAGGCAGGGTATAGGTTCGTTTATAAATTAATATTTTATATGCAACTATTGCAAATATCCCCCCTACGAGACAATCTCTGGGGGAGGCCTATGTTCAGCAGTGGACTTTAATAGGCTGTAACAGTAAGGAACCTATCTAGGCAGGGGTGTCACTTCTACTATGGAAGGTATGGAGCACTCCATACCTCAAGTTTTTCAAGGTATGGAATTCCATAGCTGAAATTAGGAAATAAATCGCATATTACTACAAACCCCATATAAATAAATCGCAAGCCCTTAAACCTCAATACCCCATATCTTATAGTTCAATAAATAAGTTGAGTATATACACTGCAAACTCTTAAACCTTAATACCCCACGAGTAATGCGAACAAATTTGAAAATCGCGCCACCATTTTCCATACCTCAGATTTTTACAAAGTGACACGCCTGTATCTAGGAGGCTCAGAATTCTACCCATTTCTAATTGTTGATGGCCCGCATGATGTATTATATCTTTATAATAAGTACCTATGTAAGCTAAATTATAGAAATGTCAATAAAGGAAAAAATATCTTAAAATTACAACGTAGCACGCAGCTTATTGGGTAATCTAACTTACATGGTGGGTGTTGAAGTCAACGTGTAGCGCTCCCTGGACAATTCTCTTTCAGTAATATCCCCAGCACCAGTCCTACCTGGCGGCGACGCGTTTTGCTGCATTTTCACTAATTCCTCGGGCATTTTATTAACAATTTAAAAAGTTACAATATGTTTGTTTTATGGTTACAACACTTAATACGTTTATATCTGTTGTCAGTTTGAAAATTGTTTGTCATGTAGATTTAAATATTGATTTTGTTATTGGAACTATACGTTTTGTATTTTGTTCTCGTCGTGTATACGGCCTGATATATATTATTGGGTACGATTTTATCGACCACCAAACAAGTTGGGGTTCTTAAAAATAAATAAAAAATTCTAAAAAAAAAATTATTAAAAATACTTATGATTTGATAATATGATAGATTAATTAATATAAAATGTAATACAATTAAAGGAACGCTTTGTTAATTTTGACAATCGCAAGTCATAAAATTTGGAAAATTGGAATTGTCACATGATGTAGTACTGGCCTTTACCCCAGATAGCCGGCCCAGGTACCCGGCGCGTTGCTGCCGCGGAAGAAAATTCGTCACGCCACAAGCGAAACACATCGAAGCCTAAATCGCGCTATCAAAGTTCCAAAGTTAAAGCAGCATATATAGAATAGTTCCGAACTACCACTAGAAGCGCTCTCTTTTCCTAAAAGAGGGTCGCTTCCGATCTGGCAGAGAAGCTTCATAGGCCACTGCCATTCCCCAAAGGCGGTTTTTAGCGGGTAACACTTAGAGTTAAGGTTAGGTGAGTCACAGTGAGTCCCGCATAACCACGACAGACCGGCTGTCGTGGTTATGCATAAAGCATTTACCGCCTCCGTTATCGGGGTAGCCCTTTTCTAATTTGCGCAAAAAAAAACTACCACTTGTCCCCAGAGAGGGATGCTGCTCCCCACAGAAGACGTCCCAAGAACGTTCTTCTTGACGACTAGATCACTTCCATAAATAGGTCGATCCCGCCCATCCCCTCCACAGGACCACAGGAGAGGGAATCCAAATAAATAACGCTATCACACACACACACACACACACATTCAGACACTACACTAGTACACAGAACACTAGGGCACACCGCGTTCGCCGGCGAATGCGAGGTCACAGACACAACCCGTACACGAGGTTCAGTACCCGTTTTTAGTCTTACGACCCGTCTCCCACATTGCGATAGTGGTTCAAGTAGAGGTTCGTACCTTTTTCTGATGGGCCCTTGAATCACATCGATTTGCAAGCAAACCCCCCTAGCAAGAGGAGCCCCACTCCGAAAGCAGGGGCCGGGGTGCCTCGAGACTCGTTGCACTCAATAGCTCGTAACTCCTCACTTACGAGCCTATTTCGATGAAGCTGTTAAGGCCGCAGAGCCAACAGCATACACTTGGAGCGTTGGCCACCCCCGGGCAAATCAACTTGCCCAGCGGGAGATCTCCCCTTTTCCTTCTACGGCCAAAAGTTATATTGTTTAATTAGGAATATACTAGGATAATACATTCATTGAAATTGTAATGATACTCGTATATAACTTTTTAACTTTTTCATATGGGATCAGATGTGAAGTACCAGCTTTCGAATAATTAAAGAATCATTAAAATCGGTTCACCCAGTAAAAAGTTATGAGGTAATACACATAAAAAAAACATACAACAGTCTAATTGAGTAACGTCTCCTTTTTGAAGTCGGTAGAAAATAAATAGAGAGCAAAGCCAGGAGTGATCTAGGCTATATTTAGCTGAAAACCTTAAAGATATTTTTTTTGAAAAAGCAAAATCTTTATAAAATAAATGGTCTTTGATTATCTTATTTTTATTATATGAATAAAAATAACCCCTCGAGATGAGGTGATCGCCACCTTGCTGGTTCTATTAGAATTCATATAAAAATTTATACAAAATTATTATACAATCCCGTTGGATTTCTTGCTGGTTCTTCCCAGAACAGAGGTATTTTCCGAAACAGTAGTAAATAAAAAGAAATACTTTGAATAAGTATTATCTAACAATCTATATTTAATTAATATTATTCTATTCTATACTTAAATTTAAATAACGCCACACTAATACATCCTACACTACACTAATACATACAACTAGGCGAAACCGGAGCGAGTCGCTAGTTTTATTATTAAAGTACATATTGTGTACAATAGCAAAATGCGAGTATCAAACAATCGACGTATTTGATAGTCTACCTGGCACCTGTAAGTGAACGTATAAGTGAGGGCAGGCGCCTGACGGGACTTCGCCCCCGACGAAGCGCGGGCGCCTCTACGACTGGCGCCGCGGCGCACCCTCGCAATTTAAATTATTCCTGATTATATCGCCCTGACGCCAATTCGACTACCTTTGAACCTAAAGGTACTTGAATTTTTAAATAAATGGCAACTTTAAAAAATATAGTTTTTTTTAAAGGGAGCTCTTTATTGCTTTAGTAATGGACTCGTACGATTGTATTTTTGCCAGTATCAAGTAGGTAAGAAATTACCCTTTATAGTACACTTCTTCATTCTTCACAATATGTTGATGCGTCATATAACACATTGCGAAGTTTTTATATATATTTTATATATACACAAAATCGCACCACATGCGCAGACAATTTTATATACCGAAATCCATTTCAAACCATTAAACAATCATACAGGAGCAGCAATCCGCCAACGGTCAAGTTCCCGCCAAAACACTTAAAGCGGGTTGCAAATGTAACTTTTCGGTTATAATATCACACGACTGCTACTTTATTTATTTATTTAAGCTTTATTGCACAAAAATGTACAAAAGTGGACTTAACTCCATATGGCGTCCTCTATCAGTTAACCTACTATAAGCAGAAAACACTATTATGATTTGTAATAGAAAGAATTAAGTTACTTTGGTGTAGATGTAATCATTGAGGTAGATTGGGGTGGCCAGGTGGGCCACGCCTACCGCAGTACTGTTCGGTACCCACCTCCGGATATTGGATTACCAAGAGAATTATTAAAAAATTGATTTTATAATAATAATACTGTAAACAAAATACACAAGTTTCACGGTAAACTTCTTGTTTAGTAAAGAAACATTCCAAAAATCGTTATCCGAAATATGACTCTATGCTTTAAGTTGAAATTACGTTTATTGCGTACATTAGGCATCGATCGACTTGATTGGTTTGTTTCAAGACTCGGCAATTTCGAAAACCTACTTAAGTTAAAAATGAAAGATGTAGATTTTTATTATTGTTAAGAATAATAAAAAAATAAATAAAGTAAATTCCAGGCGTGATTTAACTGTTTTTTATTAAACTAAGGGTGCAATGTCAGACTAGAGAAATAAAGTTTTCAAGCAATAAAATAACGTATAGGTATTAAGTTATTATTACAAAGCTCAGAGCTCTGTCCGTAAAACGCGAACAACCAGAGTTCTATCCCCGCCGGCACCTTTTATACGTGGTAGAGCCGTGCTGTATTAGTTGTAGCACGAATCGGCTCGGCTCGACTGGGCAAGGACCACGCTCTCACAGAATACCAGCGTAAAATAGCAATTTAACACTGTTGTGTTTCGTATGGTGAGTGTAGAGAACCGGAGACCCTTTTTACTGGAAAAGAGGCATTCCATCTTAGTCCTCACATTCTGCATTTTGAATCGTAATCGAGGATTATTTAAAGTCTTTACTCTTTATAACTAGCTGGGTTGGTAGGTACCCGGCGCGTTGCTGGCGCCGAAGAAATAATTGTGAGATTGTGGTTTTCAATTTGGAAGAGTTATATTGTTTAATTAGGAATGATAGGTAATACATTCATTGACTGATAAAAAAATTTCAAATAAACTTGTCGTTGCGATAGGCACGCCACCTAGATTAAGTTAGTTGTACTGTGCCTATAACCTTCGAGAAAGTGCAAGTATGGTAAGCGGTATGGTAGCGCATAAAATACGTACAAATAAACATTATTTTTTATATATTAGTTATGTATGTGCTACAAAAACATAAAAAAAAATATTTATTGTTTACTTTCATACTGTCAATGTGAACACATAATCACTGAACCTATGCAGAGAACACTATTAATCTCGCACAGTACAGATTGGAAATTGTCGCCATACATTTATATATTACCAGCCATCCGCCTCAGCTTCGCGCGGGTGATTGCTGGATCTCTACAACAGCGCCACCTACCGGGTCCAATTGTGAATCTAAACCATTCTAGAATCAACTTAATCACACACACAAAATTTCAGCAAAATCGATCCAACCGTTTAGGATGAGTTCAGTCACATACGGGCCCTGTATCAAAATTTGTCGGGGGGCCCAAATGAAGGATAAAGATCTTTCACAAAAGGAACAAAAACTCTCGCATTGAATTAAAATAATTATATATTGGTTATAAGTTGTTACTTACAATTAATACTCCTAGGAACTAAGCTAGCCAAACAATTCAAACCAACAACCTGTCCCGTAGCCAAATAATTTAAAACAACATCCTGTCCCATAGAAGTCCTTAGAATTTTTGCTTACACACTTTCGGGGCCTCTGTAGCCCGGTGGCCCCGTATCATTGATATGGCTATGACCAGGCAGACGTTGTTCTGCCCTTTCCGACGACCATTTGCGTTCCTAAAAAAACTCCTGAAATTAGCAATAAAAAAATGAGGGTCACTTATCGGGATAAAAACTATCCTATCTTTCAAGTGGGACCAAACTGCACACAGTGTGCAAAATTTCATTGAAGTCAGTTCAGTAGTTTAGGGGTTCATCGCGGACAAACAACGTGACACGTAATTTTTATATATAAAGATATACTTAAATAATACATTTTGCATAATATACAAAATTAAAAATTTTATGAATTAAGTACGATCGAATTTCGATCACTAGGCGCCCACATAAAAAAATATTACTGAAATTTAAACAGTACAAAATGGCGGGTTTGGCGCCACACGCGAAGTGACAGGCGCGTCGCGATGCCGCCCGCTGAGTCACGTCGCTCGCCGTCGCTTGCAACATTGCCGAACAAACTTTCTAATTAGATAGGTACACTAGGTAGACGTGTAGATGTACTTATATTAAGCGAATGCGATACTAACAGGAAAATGAACAGTTTTATTATAGTGTGTTG